CGTCAGTCTTCAATGGAGGTCGTGCATCCTTCAAGCCTAGTGATTCCTGTGGTGAGAGAGCCTACTTTTGGAGTTATCACGTGAATTCTCTTGTATGGCTGCTCCGTCATTTGAAGAGGTTCTAATATGGGAATGTTTTTCCTTTCACGCAGTTAAATTTAGAATCAAATCCTTCAGGGTTCCTGATCTTTTTGTCGAGATTCCAGAAAATGCAACTGTTGGTTCTTTAAAGGCATGTGAAAGTGTTACCTTCAAATACTAATTCACTTTCCTCAATAAGTTTCTATCATCATTATTCTGCCTTATGCTACATTTTCTTTTTTTGAATGTCAGTTTGGAAAAGCACTATTCATGCTCGTAATATTTTGCAGAGGACCGTAATGGAAGCAGTGACTGCTATACTTGGCGGTGGACTACGTATCGGTGTGGTTTTTCAGGGTAAGAAGGTTAGAGATGATAACAAAACCTTATTGCAGACTGGAATTTCTCATGATTACAAGCTTGATGCTCTGGGCTTTTCACTGGAGCCCAATCCCATTCAAGCTTCTCCACCTCTTGGTCCAGATTGTCGTTCTTGTGTCCTTCCTTGTGATACACCTCAACCACTAACAAGGTATTCTATTTATCGACCTCTGATGGGTATTAGGACCGTAGCCATTGTTGTTATAGAGCTTCTTCTGTTGCTTCAGTTTAACAGCAAGTTACATGGCTAAATATATACCTGCGGTTATTTTGAAATTAGAAGTCCATAACTTCTTCCTACTCTTGGTGGGTTGTTTCTATATTTTCTAGTGTTTTCTGTCTTTGCTAGTACTCCTACTTCTTTTGTGGAAACGTGCAGGAGCTTATTGTGTGTTCAATTTTTTGAACTTCATTTTGGAAACTACGTCTTCTTAAGAGACATGCTAGAATCAAAAGTAGTCTTAATGATTTTGCACTATATATATCACCAGGTGCCTATCTCCTGCTATTACTGGCATTCAGCAGGGGAGATCTGATGATCATACAGGAACATGTTTGAATAATTTTGTTGAAAGTGATCGTGATTCTGCTCCATCTCCTCATTACACGGCATTGGAGAAAATTTCTGCAAATTCAAGAGCATTGATTCCAGTTACTGCGGTAAATGCAGAAGCCCTGGCCGTAGTTCCATTACGGAAGCCCAAGCGATCTGAGGCCACACAGCGTCGAATCCGTAGACCTTTTTCTGTTGCGGAAGTGGAAGCACTTGTTCAAGCTGTTGAGAAGCTTGGAACAGGAAGGTATCTTTAGTATAACCATAATTAGTGCTTAAATGAGCTATGCTGTGTATGGGATTCTAGATTATTATTGGCTTTGATTATAAAAAGGGTATTTCTTCACAAAAGAGCACCAAGTGAGTGCTATGTATCTGTACAACGAATTACAGCTCTTGGGATCTCAAAAAAAAAATCATGAATCTATCAAATTTCATTAACATCTTCACCCAAACTCCCCGTTCCCCACCCCCACCCACTCCCCCAACCAGGGCTTTTGTTAAGTGATAATGAAGTACAACGTGGGTCGGGCTGCAGACTTCTGATTTGTTTTTTCAGTTTTTCAGTTATTGTTTTGTTGTTTGGCAGATGGCGTGATGTGAAACTGCGAGCTTTTGATAATGCCAAACATAGAACTTATGTCGATTTGAAGGTATAACATTTGTCACAGTCTCTTGCTATTTAACATCACACCATCCACAGCCAATTGTTGTCTTGCCTGCCGGGATCTCTCTTCCCATTTCAATTTTTATGCTTTGCTTTCTTAATTAGCTAGTTCATTCTTAGCATGACTAATCTTACAGTCCGAGGAGTCTTATCCATTTGTTGCTTCTTCAAGCAGCTAAGAAATCATTTGGTTTTTAAAGTGGCGTACTTGTTGCATCTTGTATGTAATTTCCTTTACATCTCCAGTACTTAACAAAATCTTCTGTGAATGACCTGGAAAGGAGAAAAAAATAGTCATGAGCCATCCTCTTGAATCTTGATACACATAGTAATCACATGACATTGAGTTTAATTAACGGCTGTTATCAGGATAAATGGAAAACTCTGGTGCACACAGCAAGAATATCTCCTCAGCAAAGGAGGGGCGAGCCCGTGCCACAGGAGCTCTTGGACAGAGTCCTCACTGCCCATGCTTACTGGTCCCAACAGCAAGCCAAGCAACAGATGAAACAGCCATCGGAGACTTACCTTCTGCTCTAGGAACACGTCGTGGAAATGGCTGCACGATGTGGGACTGACGAAGAGGTTTCCTTATTTTTTGTCACTGTAAAATATCTTATGTTTAAAAAGTATTACCAGAAGTTAATTAGTTAGTGCTACATATAGTTCCTTGCATGGAGGGGTTGGAAGCTGGCTCTTTGTAAATGTTTTGATAGAATGAGTGCTTTGCTAACAGAAATTTTTTTCTGCCAAGATTTTGGCATTAAATGCTTCTTTCCTTGGTAAGAAATTCTTTCTGGGGTAAGGGTATTGTACTTATGTACTTAACTCGTTCAATAGAAAAGGCAAAAGGGAAATGTTTTATTCCCTATTTGATTGTAAAACTTAATTCAGCATCATATAATGATTCTTCACATTTTTTACATCAATTTCAATTTTAAGATTATAGATAGGTTCATCTTGTGTCCTAGTACTACTTTTCTCTTCATTCTAGTAGATTGCACTTATGGTTACCACCGCTAATACTTACGGATTTCTAACGCTATCATCCATGACAAGAATTTAAGTAGATGGCAAAAGGTTCAAAAATGAACCATCAAATTTTCACCAGTTACAAATAGCTAGAATTTTGATACATAGGAACATTGTTAAAGATGTAGTATTAGTTTTCGGGCAAAAGATGTAGAATTTAGGTGCTCGGTCCGCACGTAAAAATAGCAGAAACGGCGATTAGTTTTATAGTCTATCTTCACCACCAAACTCTTTGTTCCTCGATGGCGCATGTGGATCATCGTGCCTCCAATAAGTTGAGGGGCAAAAATATTAAGCATGTGCCCCAAAGTGACCTCTCGACCGACGAGCTCCGCATACTTGAGCAGCATGAGGAAGAGTTTGTACACGTACGACGAAAGCTGAGTCGGGCACACTTCATAGAAGCGGCAGAAGTCTACCACTAGGGAGGGGAGAGGAAGCGTATACCCGACAACAAAAGGGTACGCGTAGAATGCGCAGTACCCTGGGCGGTGCAAATGTACAATGTCTGTCCCCGTCGCCGACACCATCTCAATATGGTTTGGAATTCCCCACTTGGTCTTGAGCGCCTCAATCGCCGCTTCATCCATGGTAGAGGGTGCAAGATCCGGTTCTTCTCCGGCAGGGCTGTTGAAGTCAGTCCATAATTTCCCCGGACGGGGCAGTATCTAGACCGTTGTTGGAACTCCCTCATCTTCCGCTACCTCCACTCCCTCTCCAAGAACAGGTGCGTCATTTTCCGGCACCAGAGCTTCGACGAACTTGTCAGTCTGGGAAGGAGTACCAGCCACTTGCCTGAATTGATCGGAATAAACGAGTATGATGAAGGAAAAGAGAGGATTGTAGCGTCAAGTTCTGATGAGCAGGAGTATGAAATCGGAAGTATGAAATATTGAAGAAGGTGGAGGTTTGCAAAATTCCTCAGATAAATCGAAAAGTGTAACAATCGAATAGTGGTTTCCCCTATTTATAGGAACATAAATGTCCTGAGGGGGAAACCCAAGAGCCGCCAATCAAAAATGATAGGGCACGGGAAACGATACGGTATCTGGGAAACGTGCGCCATAATGATACATAGTGGGCAGTCAAGATGCATCGAATCGACGCAACGATTCAGCTCCGAACGGACGTAACGGTCTGACGGTACCATTCAAGTGTCACGTCGCCACCCGACCTAAGGATCTCATTCAACACGTAACATTCATATTTCTCCTATCTTTTGAATCGACAAAGCCCATCCGTTGAGCCCGCTAAAAGGCGACCTCGACTGACGGAAGGACTAACTGTATGGGTCAAATCTGACAAATGGTTGTCCTTAAGAGGAATGATAAGGGGTCGACCAAGCCGTAATCATGCCCACGGGGCGAGATAGCAAAGAGCACATCGGCCATTGCCGGGGTCAAATCGTCGGAAAGCTTATATCATAGAACAAACGTTATGTTCGAGCAAGCGATGAAGGGTACAGCCGTAGGAAAGTACGCCGGTCAAAGATCATTGGATAAAAGGGAAAGTTAATTTATATATGAGGGCAAAGCCCAAAGAAAGGGGGGGATTCCATATAGCTATCATGAGAGAATCAACAAGAGGAATCTCTTCGTCATAAACAGTTCCCTCTCTTCTCCTTCCTTGCTCCCATGATCATGACGCAAATATGTCCAAGATGGAAGCTTATCCCTCATGTTTGATGTACAATTATTACATTAAGAAATATCACACGTTCTTATTCTTCTTCTATTTTCACACTCTGTATGTTTAGATCTGGGATTAATTATGTTTGGCTAAGATTTACCTTCTATATTACTGAGAATTAGTTCGACAAAAGGGTTTTATACTTTTTTGGTCAAACAATTTGTTAGTCCCTCCGTCCGTCGAGGTCGCCTCTTAGCGGGCTCAACGGACGGACTTTGTCGATTCAAAAGTTAGGAGAAATCTGAATGTTACACGTTGGATGAGATCCTTTGGTCGAGGTGGCGACGTGACGCTTCAATGGTACCATCGGACCGTTATGTCAGTTCAGAGCTGAATTGTTGTGTCGATTCGATGTATCTTGACTACCCACTATGTATCATTATGGCGCACGTTTCCCGGGCACCCTATCATTTCCCGTGCTCTATAAGTTTTGATTGGTGGCTCTTCGGTTTCCCGCTCACGACATTTATGTTCCTATAAATATGGGAAACTACCATTCGATTGTTACGCTTTTCGATTTATCTGAGGAATTTTGCAAACCTCCACCTTCTTCAATATTTCATACTTCTGATTTCATACTTCCGATTTCATACTCCTGCTCGTCAGAACTTGACGCTACCATCCTCTCTTTTCCTTCATCATACTCGTTTATTTCGATCAATTCAGACAAATGGCTGGTACTCCTTCCCAGACTGACAGGTTCGTCGAAGCTCCAGTGCTGAAAAATGATGCACCTGTTCTTAGAGAGGGAGCGGAGGTGGCGGAAGATGAGGGAGTTCCAACAGCGGCTAAGATACTGCCCCATCCGGGGAAATTATGGACTGACTTCAATAGCCTTGCCGGAGAAGAACCATATCATGCACCCTCTACCATGGATGAAGCGGCGATTGCGGCGTTCAAGACCAAGTGGGGAATTCCAAACCATATTGAGATGGTGTCGGCGATAGGGATGGATATTGTACATTTGCACCGCCCAGGGTACTGCGCATTCTATGTGTACCTTTTGTTGTCGGGTATACGCTTCCTCTCCCCTCCCTAGTGGTAGACCTCTGTCGTTTCTACGAAGTGTTCCCGGCTTAGCTTTAGCCATACGTGTATGTATACGGCGAATCCGGGGGCCCGATTTCCCCATCATAAGGACCGTCTCTCGGTCATGTCCCTCGAAGCTTGAAGCCAAGGTCGAGACTCATCCTCGATGTTTGACATATATTGGTCTGAAGGATATCACATTCCGACAAATACAGCGGGCAACAGCAGGCGAGGGGGGAGTTCCCAAGGCACTCGTTTTAACCTGACAAGGTTGGTCTATCCGAGGCCTATTTTCAAGATGTCACGTCTAGACATCCTATCTCCATACCTTTACAGATAATACATTTTGTATTATAACGGATTCCCCTCCTATATAAAGAGGATCCCCATCACTTTGTAGGCTCGGCTGATGTTGCTCCATTTCTCCACAAGTGCAATAATATCTCTCTCCATCTCTCTCTTTTCTTTCTAACTTGCTCGTTCTCGCTGGCCCAAGGCCACTTTAATATTTATCGCTTTCTTACTTGTTCTTCATTCTATCGCTTGGTATTGGCCATATTGAGCTTTGTTTGATCATAATTTAGTTGTTATCCCATTCCCGGCTATCTCCGATAGCTCGAGCTCGACCCGGACATCGACCCCGAGGTCCTCATCGACCAGTCCTATATCTAGGTAGCAGGCCCCTCAGTTTGATTACTGCCTCGTTTTAGCTTGCATTTCATCGTTAAACTCAACATCTTAGCATCATCTGCTCTAACAACTAGCATAAAAATAGATCACGTATTTTTAGAATCCTATTTACAAATTTAATTGTTGTTACCATTTTCACGGTAAACAGTTTGACGCCCATCGTGGAGCTAAAAATAATAGTGATTATTTTCTTGCTGGTTTCATTGCAAAAACGCAAGTTATCTTTCACACTTTTTCTTGCCCAAGATCTGCGCTTTAGGACAGAGCGCCTGGCTCGACTGATGAAATGGAAAGCCGGAACCTCAAAGGCGACAGAGAAAAGGGCATGACCGGCCTAGAGACCGATGTCCACATGATCATTGGGGGAACCAACGTTCCCCAAGGATCCGTGTCCAAACGAACGAAAACGTCCGCTACAGAAAAGGGAACCGACCCGAAAATGCTTACCCGAAGAAACCCTCATATTCAGCGAAGAGGATCTCGAGGATATGATGGAACCGCACAACGACACGCTAGTAATCTCGTTTCTCTCAAACAACACCAGGATAAAGCGCGTGCTCGTGGATCCAGGAAGCTCGGTCAACATAATCAGGGCAGAAGTAGTAGAACAATTGGGGCTGCTCAATCAAGTTGTTCCACCCTTCGAGTCCTCCATGGCTTCAACATGAGCGGAGAAGAAACAAAAGGAGATTTCACCCGCCCGATCAACACATCTGGCACAACCCAGAACACCGAGTTTCAGGTCATCAACGACGACACGAGATACAATGCCTTACTTGGCAGGCATTGGATACACAACATAAGGGCAGTGCCCTCGACCTTGCACCAGGTGATAAGGTTTCCCGCAAGGGATGGCATCATGGCCATAAATGGAAAACAGCGGGCAGCGAGGGAAGTGTTCGTGGTCCATCACGAGACTCCAACCCCCACATGCCCGGCCTCGGACGAGGAGGGAAGCGTGCAGACCCTTGAAGACGATAAAGAAGACTTCTTCGCCCCCCGAACCTTCGTCGCCCCCGAGGAATCGGATGCGACCAAGTCAATAGTCGAAGAGCTGGAGCAGACCGTTTTGATCAAACACCTCCTGGATCGCAAGGTATACCTGGGAACGGGGTTGACCCCCGAACTCAGGACATGGTTTATTCAATTCCTTAGTAACAATATCGACTGTTTCGCCTGGTCCCACTTAGATATGACAGGTATCCTACCGAAAATAACCTCCCACAAACTAAGCGTTGGCCCCAAATTTAAACCCATGAAGCAAAAGAGAAGGCCGCAGTCCGAGGTAAAATGTGCCTTTATCAAAGAAGAAGTAGCGAAACTTCTTAAAATTGGATCCATTAGGGAGGTAAAGTATCCCGAATGGCTAGCTAACGTAGTGGTAGTGCCAAAAAAGGGGAACAAGCTAAGGATGTGCGTAGACTATAA